CGAATCATTCATCACCCAACAAAATGCAAAGCACCATTTAATGTACAGATTGTAAGAAAACTTTGGCAAAGGTTTTCTCTTTAGTAAATAGAAAATAGTTCTACTATGTATTAGTAATCCAGTGAATTTTCTTTTTTTTGGTCTTTTTTAGCATGAGGAAACCCCCTTCTGCATTAGGGTAAGAAAACGCGGGTTAATGACACTTATCTGACTTCCTGTGAAACTCTTTCCAGCACATTGGCTGAGGTGTAAAAAAAGGATTTCAGAATTGCAAGCAGGTGCATGAAGATTCAAATCAGTGACCTCGCTACACTCATAGGTGGAAGCTCATAGCTCAGTGCGTTTGCCACAGTGCGGATTTTTACGTGACCGAATGCAATCAGTGGCAAACATTTGCCGTGGGAAAATAAGAAATATGTCCACCGTACCAGCAGTGGCTCTTCTGAATTTTTCATCGGTCAGGCATTAAACGGACAATTGTTAATGATCACACCTACAATGGGAGCATTGCACAGACGTCCAGATGTAGATAATGGAGAGCAGGTATGAGTGATGTCGTCTGTGGCTGTGCTCAGTCACTAATGGTGGACAAACTCAGAAAGCGCTATCCAAAATTCATCCTTCCTGGGATGCTAACCGACATGAATCATACAAATTAATATTATGAGTTTCAAATGATTAAAGGCACTCCCCCTCGCCAGAGGAACATAATGTTTCAAAGTGACTTTAATCCAATTTGACTGCAATAATTTTTTTATACACAGACTTGGGCTTTCAATTTTCAACTAATACATGTAAAAATATGCTGCACAATCAACTGGCAATTGACATTTAGTTTCAAAGGATAATCCTCTTCTCCCTGTTTGTTATTCCGACAGTGACTGTACTTTAAATTCCCCAATCATTAAATCCTCCATTAATGTCATTTCTGCGCAGCAGTTGGTCATTTGTCTCATTCCCGGCCGGCTGTTCGTCAGGAGTTATTTGTTACTCTATCATTTCTGAGTGGCTGAATTACAGTATTACAGTGGCAGGTAAGGAAAATGTGGGCAAATTTAAGATGCTTTAGAGAAAATATGACTGGCCAACAAGGCTCACATCATGGGCTGATCCAGTGCTCAGTGCATTAGGATGGATGGTGGCCCGCATTAGGGAATGTGTTCTGTAGCTTTAAGACTGTCACCAGATGCTGGACATTATTTTGGGTTGAAAAAAAACAGTTAGATTCTTTTGGAGATTGGGGTAAGTTAGTTGAGAAGCCAGCAATCAAGACTTCATGATACTGTACTGTTATTTTTTTTGCAGATAAAACACGTGTTGTTCAGCACGGCCATAGCTGTGATTGTTCTGACTCATGGTAGCCTTATACGTATAATCAAAGATCCATATTCTACATTACCAGTCAAGCCACATTGCCATGCTTCCAAACAATTGTTTGAAAAGCAGACATGGGAAAAGGTAACGCTGGGGGCTTGTCGGCGATGATTCCATAGAACCATGAGTGAAGATGTTCATGTGAGTTCATGAACTTTATGAGACCATTTTGCTGAGAGGAACCAATGTAAGCTAGCTATATGAGGTTGCTATGATTGAAGCAATTCAAAAGTTAACACGGGGAATGGCAATATTCCATGGTAGAAATGTGGCTACACTGAAGGGAGAGATCATCGTTGGATTTCTTCAGTCAGCAGATGTTGCACTGCTTCACATCTGTACTGCTTTCAGATGTGAAAGCAGTGCAGCTTCAGTCCATCCTTACCCCTACTGTGCAATATCAAAGTGACGGTGCCTCTGTCCCAGGTCACCGGCTGGCAGTACATGCTGAAAGATTGCTGAAAGCCATGGACAATGGAGTTTATTGCAGGCTAGCACAGTTCCTCCAAGCCTATTGAGATGTTCTTTTTTCTGCAGGATCTACTGATTTGGCTCAGTATTTAAGTAATGCCAGGTCCAGCAGTGAAAGAACAACCACTCCAGATGGCAAGCAAGAAGCAGCTAATAGGCAATAAGTAGGTGCAATAAACTTTGACACTGACCTGGCTTGTTCGAGTAACAGCTGCTGGGCCTCGCTAATAGTGATGGTGTGAAAGAAATCCCAGACCTTGTGTGGTCTACTGAGTTTTAAACGAGTGCACTGTCAAAGATGCTTATCAATTACTTCATATCCAATATACCTTGGACATGCTCTCCACTGCTAAGTAGTTTAGCACTCTTGACCCCCGTGCACACAAGGTGGCGACTATCTGCAGTCATAATGGGATATTTAAGTGGAATGTCATGCCTTTTAGTTTTTGCGATGCGCCTGTAACGTTCCAGTGCCCTAAGGACCCCATATTGGCAGGAATGCAGTGGAATACCTGTTTCATCTATCTCCATTTATATGATAATCTTGGGGTACAATCCTGCTGAAATGCTGGAACATGTTCTACTGACTAAGGCTGATCTCAAACTGAAGACCAAGTGGCTAATCTGGGGCACACTGTCTCTGAGCACAGTAATATTCAGAATATTCAGATAATCTAAGCATGGCCTACCCCCAAGTGTGTCTTGGATGTTCGCCAGATTGTGAGCCTAGCCTCATATTACAGGTGATATGTGAAAGCAGCATTCAAGAAGGTGAAATGATGGGCAACGTCTGCACCAGCTGTGGGCTGTGCTACATATGCTACTGGTGATCTCATCCTGGACTTGGATGCCAGTGACTTCAGAACTGGTGCTATTTGGTGCAGGAGCGGCTTATGGCTGCAGAAAATTACCTTCCACCAAACATAATTCCTGCATAACAAGGAGGGAGCTCCTGGTGGTCGTGGAGTTCATGTCACCTCTGCGATGTGCCAGAACCCAGCCTGGGCAATGCGCAATTTCACCACCAGGAGATGCAGCGTAATGTGAGCGATGATCTGGCTGAGGAAGTACAGTAATAGAAACCACCATAGAGCTGATGTCAGTGGGGGAAGGGGAGACAGACTTCACCCAGCTGAGGAAGACACCACAAGCTCCCATGGGGACTGTGCGAGTTGACACTCTTATGGAGAGAATTGTATTCCACCTGATGGGGCCACATTAGAGGTCCAGGACTAATCTGGCACGCAGTTGGAAGCCCCTCCCTAATGACCAGGCCATTTCAGTAGCTGATGTCACAGTTACCGCAGCTACTTAACTCTGCGTAGGTGTGTCATTTTGGAAAGCCCAGCATATAACATAGTGACTAAGGCTCTATCTTTGACTCTGAAGCTCCCCAGCAGATGTGTGAACTCCAAGGGATTGCGCAAAACTTCCACCACTGCTTACCGACCTCAGTCTGATGGCCAAGTTTTTAACATAACAGTGCAGAAAATTGTAGCCTCCACAACTGAATGATGCCACTGGGAATAGGATGCCATGATTCTGTAGTGATGGCTTATTGTGTAACAAGGCACAGCTATACTGGGTTGACACCCAACATGATGCTCTTGTAAGGGTTACCAAATAAGCCACATTCCCATGCTTCCAAACTGGTCAGAAATGCAGAGATGGGCAAAGGAAACACTTGGTACAAGGTTTAAATGTGGTCACATGACATATAAACAAAACAAGTGCCTTTAGGCATTCAACTGTGCCAAACAGCAGTTGATAAACACAACACCTGCCTCTGTGCCAAAAACTGATGTGATTAAAAAAACTTTCATGCACTAAGCCTTAAGAAACACATGTTTTCAAACATTAGCTTTTCTACTTGACACGAGATGAGGCATATAATTATTTTACTTTAAAACAAAGTTTAATTTACAGTAAAAAACCAATGACGAAACCCACACATCAGTAAATCCCAAAACATACATGATAAAGAGACAGGGTTGATCAGTTGTATACATTTTATTCTGTTTTATGAGTTGGTGTGACAGACCAATCTACTTTTAAAAGCATTTTAAAAAGAGCATTAATATTTGATGTACTTTGCCTGTTACATGATACAAGATTGGGGGTTAAACTCTGTGCTACTCCTTCAGTCTCTCTGAGAATCTCGGTAGGGGTACCACTTTGACCTTTGACCCTTTATTCCCATGATTCATTTACAGTCACTAAAGAATAAGCCATGGACAGCTTTGACAGCTCAAAAATCTATCTTCGAAACCTGAAATATTTCTTGTCTGCAAACCACATAATACAGAAATACATGCAGTGACCACTATGACAAAAATGCCTTTTGATAAGAATGTCACCCGAACATTAAGTACTGTACTGAGAATAATTATGCTTTCATGCTTGGTTATGTATTTTGTTTAATCATTAAATAATAATTAGCAATACTTATGCAAAAAAAGTTAGAACAAACATAAAACTTAGGACCCTGTTTAACCATGAACACCCTTTAAAAAGTTTAAAAACTGAAACTTCCCATTTAATGAGTATGTGCTTCTGGGTTTCATTACCCGCAGTGTTGAGTATTTTTCTGTAAGAGCAAACCACAGATTACATGTCTGATCTTTAGTATTTAAAATACAAGTAAAGCTTGTGAACACCTTCTTCCCTTGAAATCTTTGAACCTCCTTGGAATTTTAAGGCACCTGAGTCAGAGGGTATTTCAGAAGGCAGAACTCTACCTGAGAGCAGTGTCCCATCGGAGCCTGCAAGCTCCAACCCCCCCCCCCCCCCTCCCCCCACCCACCAGTGTTCTGATCGATTTCCATGAGGCAATGATGCATGGAATAAGCATTTGCAGTAAAAACATCACTCATAGCAAGCTTGCAAGCAGGAATGCTGAAATTTGGCTTCTATTCAAATATCAAGTCACTGTTGTTTATGGTTTTACGTGTGTTCCTAACTTACAAATTGAACTTCCACTGTTTTGGAGGGAAGCCTGTTGAATTCGTGAAAATGTTACCTTGTGACTGGGTTTCCCTGCTGTGCACTTATACTGAGCACACCTCTCTTGCTCAGTTGGACTTGAAGAGTGGTGTTCAGCAGATCTGGGTACTCATGCCACATGCCATTTCAGCAGCAGGCTTAGAGCAAGCTAATCACATAGGCAATGCATTTTTAATGTTCTTCATGTTCCATGAGAAGATATTGGTTTACAAAGAAAATAATAGGTACACATGTGCAGGTATTTAGGATCAGACAAATCTTAGCATTAGAATATCCAACATACAGATAAATATAAGGTTTGAGTTTAGGAAGATTTAAGTTGAACACTCCCCAAGTTGAAGGCGGGGCTTTAAGAACATGCTCCCTTTTTATATAAAAATAAATGCCATGTCAGTTAAAGTGAGTAAAACAGAGTCGCACGTCTCTATAGATTAGCTACTGCTTTTTTGCCAAAACGGCACTGATGTCCATCGAAATGCCACAACCGGAGTCATATCTGAGCCTGTTGAAAATGGGCTTTCTTTCCATTTCCCGCTTCACATGACACAGCTGTCCTTCCTTTCGCAATCGCTAACCACTTGCTCTTAACCCTGGTACACATTTAAAATTTCCCCACCCTTCCTCCCACTCTCAGATGAGAAAAGGAAAGATGTATCTGTACAAAAGTTCATCTTGCTATTCATTAGGGTCAAAGAATACGGCAGTGGAGACTCTCAGCGGGGCTGTTACTTGGCCTTTTCACACGGATAAGTAATGGTCACGGGATCAGTCTGAACGCTGGCTTCCGACAGCCTCTTTGGCCCCTGCATGCAAAACAAAACAAACCGCCCAGATGAATTTGCTCATTCTGTACCCTTTAATTCAGATAATCGGAAACAAACTGAAACAAAAGTGAACAAATATAACTGAAACAAAACAAAACAAACATAACTGAAACAAAACAAACATAACTGAAACAAAAGTGAACAAATAGCGTGGCTCGTTACATTCAAGTTAATAACAGGGAATTCCCATAAAAGGCTGTCATTAATCTAAGGATTTTGTCAGCTTTTCATCTGAATTAGTGGTATTTGGGACAGAAAGACCTTCCGTGAGCTATCAGCAGAAAATATGGAAAAAAAAACACCCCCAGTGGTGTCTTGAAAAAACACATTTAACCTACCAGGCTTTTGAAGAATAAGTGGATGGAGTTCCTCTTCTCTAGTTTTTTGGAGACACTGACGGCGGCTTCATCGCCGCTCTGTGAGGCTTCCGACACTGATTTGCTGTCTACGGCGACCTCCAGGGCCTTGACTTTGGGTATGACTTCCTGCTTTCCGCTCCTCTTCTTCTCGGCCTCAGTGCCGGGTTTGGGGTCCTCCTTCAACTTGACACCTTGGGCCGCCTCGGGCAGAGGAGGTGCATCAGGCAGCGTGTTCTTTGTGGTGTCGGGGGTCTTGGGGGAATGGTATGAGGTGGGGGGGGGGGGGGAGGTAAAGGGCAGCCATGTTAACATTTGCCCCCTGGATTGAGGTGCTGGTGGGGTGGAATACTGCTGGGATATGAGGCCAAGAACTAGTGTGTGTCTTTACATGGAATGCATGAGAACTTAGTATAATTTTAAAAAACTGCAGGAAAAGTTTAAAAGTGAATTCAAGTTATTGTGCTCCTGTAGAAAGCCGCCTGCTGCCGATTTCCTCTGCATCTGGTGTTTTACCTTAATATTTACCTTAATATTACATTGGGAGTATCAGTGCAAGAAAACACATTCAAATGGCATAATGAATGACAGATATTATGGAGGGGTGGAGCCACTGCTTGGCAATACACTGAATGAGGTTCATATATCTGCACTGCATGACCAAAAACACGAGGAGCTCTCAGAGACCAATCAAACGGCTGGATAAGAACAACGCATCTGAACTGTAAAATACACTGCACCTCCCCAGAGCTGGACACTGGATTTACACTAAATTCAGCTCCATGCCCAATGCTCATGAGTTTTGTTTTTAATATTTGAGGTGCTTTGAGGTGTTTCAACAGCTTAAGCTGTCATAAGAAAAAAAATAATCATAACCATAGGAATGCCATTACGTTCTACTTAACAGGAAAGTCTGTCATTTTAGACCATGTGTATAGATTCAAATCACAATTGTTAGTGGTTATATTTGAAGCACAGTACGGGACATTTGGTTTGGCCAGCATGATGTCATCAATTTAGTCAATATATCTCCTAAAAAGACACTGAATTAGTGATTTGTTTAATGCTGTAATCTAGAGTAATTTTAGTAAGGCCTGCTCATGATCTGGAATAGACCAGTGTATTTTTTTGTTGTTATTTCCTGCTTGCAGTGACCAAATGGAGATTAATCTGCATCGACGGTTCGTCATGGCCATCTAGTGGTTGGTAGGGGTATAACGTGGCCTAGCCCAAATTGCTATCACTAGCAATGATGGAATCCATTTAGTGATATGAGTCATGTTAATGTCTGACACACAGTTCGATTTACCGGTACATCAGTGCTGACAGGGACACTGTTTCCACATGTCGGGGCAGTCTGGACTTTAGATGTTTGTGGGCGTTGCGGTACCTCAAATTCACATTACTCTGTTACGATCTCACACAAGGCATCTCTTTCCAGTCTTGCCAAAAAGCAGGGATTACGGTAGAAGGTCCAGTCTTCTTACCTTCGTCTTGAAAAGGGTGATAAGATTCGATTTCTTTTTCTCCTGTGGTTTTCCTGTCTGTGCTGGCAGTGCGGACGCTTCTAGTGTACTGGCCTTTGACGCTCCACCCTGCATGGAGAGAGTCAGGCAAGGTAGGGGTGAGGGGGATGGCAGAGCTTATGCTATGGGTCGACCTTTTAAGGACCAGCGATTACGTTCGAGGAACATAGTGGGGACTATGGACCGGAGCGCATGCCGTTCTCCTGCAAGCAAGCAAAGGTTGACGAGAGAAAGTGCTGAATTGTCTACATCCCTAAACAACGTCCATCCATTTTCTGTGGAAGAAGGAGGAGCCAGAAAGCATGGAGGTGACTCAGATCCTGACCGCGAACCACCAGAGGGAGCGCCCCACCTCTCACAATGGAACCCCCAAAGTGTAGTGTTTCTCAACCCTATCGTCAGGGACCCTCAGATAGTCCACATTTTTGGTCCCTCCCAGGTCCCAGTGCACCTGATCCAAATAACGAAGAACACTGGGTATTTGGTACAGAGTTACTGGGAGGGAGCAAAACTGTGGACTGTCTGGGGGTCCCTAAGTATTTGACTGGGAAACACTGTTCTAGAGCAAGCGAAAAAGGACAAAAAGCCACAACAATTAGGTGGGAGGAGTCTTCCCGCAGCGTTACCTGCCCCTCCTCCTCATCCTTTTGCGGATCCTCCTCCTGTGGCTCCTCCTCCATAGTCTGCAGGGAGGTAAGAGCGACGTTAACCCTAACAACAAGGCAGACACACACCCCACCATCTGGTCTTGGCACCGGAAATTTGGATTGGTCAAGGTGAGCACACTATCCATAATGGAAGTGACCTATTTCCTTTTATAAATGATTAATATGCTAACTTACCTAACAATATTAAGTCGAGCATGTAAGATATATTTTACCATGCGGCAAAATAGATGAGAAGTTCAAGGGATTAACCGCATTTATCAGGTACTTAACATTTATACGTTTTTGCATGGGTTAGAAGCTTCAAGCAAGATGATAAGTATGAGTGACTTGTGTCTTCTTAATGCCAGTCTGTCCACGGATCTGAAAAAAAGACACTGGAATCTCAAGAAAGACAGCTCTTTCCTTGAAGTGTGTTTTATTTATGGCTTACCTTGCGCTGGAAGAGTTTGGAGAAAGGCCTACTTTTAGCAGGCTTCTGCTTGATCTCCGGCCCACTCGGGGCATCCTTGGGTACTTCCTTTTGGGAGTTCTTGGGATTTTTGGCTGCCGGTTCTGCTTTGGTTTCTGCTTTAGGTGGTTCAGGTGGTGGGGCTGTCTTGGTAGATCTAGAAGCAGTAGCAGCATCTACCTCCTTCAGACCCCGAACAAGGCAAAGACAGTGTGGACATTTTATATATATATATATACTTTTGGCAGTCTTTATAAATTGAAGCCAGCACTATGTATAAATAATTACAGGGAATTTTTCACTACATGTCTGTTGTGTTACACGTTCAGCAAAGTCAATACTGATTATTATTTATTATCAAAGGGAATCATTACATATTATGCTATTCATTAATTCAGAGATAATCTTTCAGACCTTAATTCTCATAACATTATATAAAGCAGGTTACCCATGTTAACCTCAGATTAATAAACACTTTCTATTTATTTTTCATCACTCCTATTTATTACAAATATTATTAAAAATCAACACTTACACTTGTGGCTGTTGGTTGGGTATCCTTGAAGGACTGTTCAAGCGTTATAAAAAACAAATGTCAACAATATGCATTATAGAAAATAAGGAATAACTTACAGATTTGTGTTTAAACATAGTGCTGTATGTATTTTTTGTGCTGGATTTGCCGCCTTTTGTGCTGACGCAGAACGTACTAGCTAGCAAGCAATTGTCGTAATGTCCTACAAAGGCAAAACACGGTAACTATATTGGCACTGAAACTGAGAAAAGGGGCTGCTTTGCCTTTGCTTTAGAGTAGATTTTGTAGTAACTGTTATTTTCACGCTCTTTTGTTATGAAATAAAACAAAGCCTAAGAGCCCGGATTATGGTAATAATTCAATTTCGATAAAATGTGCAGTTCTGTGGTTTCGCCTTTGTACGGCAGTAACGGAAAATTGCGTCTGAACTGTCAAACGCTGCAGTGATGGCTACAGAAACTGCTGCTCTGGCCCGGAGCGAGTACCTTCTGCCTAAAGAGTTTGCTGAATGTCCCCCCCGTGGAGTCCTTTGGATTGGGGTCCGTGTCTTTAGGTTCTGAGGCAGGGGGCTCTGCTGTCTTGGCTGCAGACCCCTTTTCCAGTTTGCTTTGGCCCTCGGGCTCCTTGGTGCCCTTTGCCTGCCAGGTGAAGAGCAATGGACGGTGAGAACATCCTGCCAGTGGGGTTTTGGGTCGCTCTCGCTCCACCACTCTGCCTCTTTCTGTCACTCCCCCACATTGTTTATGGGGAAGTGACCTATCTACCATATGGCTTTCAATTCCTGCCAAAAAAGCACTTTGGCGGTAGATAAAGAGGACAGTGTACCCAAGAGCAGAATGTAAATTTGAGGTTATGACATATTAGCCATTTTACAAGCAGCAAGAATCACATTATTTGGATGAAGAGTAGACTGAGGTATGGATTTTGAATGAGATTAAACCCGTGCATTAATTCATTGTTAGTTTTGCTTCAAGTCATCTTTGCTTCTAGCATTTGCGTTGGAGTCAATCAGAATGGAGGGCAGCTGAAGATTCCTCAGGAGGCAGCTAGGAATCTCATGGCAGGCAGGATGTACCGAAGCACCAAGGAGCCAAACCCAAACCCTCAGCTCCTACAGAGTCATCACACCAGCACTTTATTTACATCTCAGTCACAGTGGAGAGACAGTGTGAAAAAGACGCAGCCAGCACCGATTTATGAAGGTTTTCCATGGAAGCCCGACACATGTAAAGAGCAATGGAGTGAGAATTGATAAGAGAATGGAGGTATGGAAAAAGAGATTGACCACATTGGTGCTTCTCTCCCGTTAGGGCCGAGTTTGTTACCGTGTCTTTGGAGACATCTGGAGAGACTCCTTTGGAAGTTTTACTTGGACTCGCCTAGGTGAGGAAGATGGAAGTACAGTATTCATTCTGGATAGTCTGATTAAAAGTGTTCCTGGCTGAATGTTGTTTCACATGTGACACAAGCGTTCAGTGTTTACAGTCCAAAATGGCTAGAGTGCAGCATTTAGCCACATGTTCAATCAGATTGTTACGGTTCTTTCTTGCACAAAGCAGTGAGGGACTTAGCTAACTGTGGGATGTTAGGGAATGAACATTTTCACAATCGCTACTGATTATGCAACATTCCTGGGCTGGCCAATGAAAGACAGAGTAGTGGGTCCAGGTCATAAGCGGCCTTCACTCCAGTGTACAATGGGATTTGCCACGTCACATCACATGATCCCCATTGTTTGGCCTCAGTGATTGGCCTATTATCTCTACGCTGTGCTACCTCAAACCTCAGCAACGCTGCTTGTTAGCTCACACTCCATGCCCAACAAAAGTCAGCCATGTGTAGAACAGGCCTGGGCCTCTTTTAGTGAGGGGGAGAAGGACCTGGGAGGGAGCAGCCGTGAGCTTAAATGCTGGGGGAGGAAAACTCAGGGGGGACAAGCGATGTCTTATGTCAAAGCAGATAAGAAGATTCTTAACTGTGAGGCTCCGTTTCTGCCTGCTGACGCTTGCTTTCAGGGGGGTGGGGGTGGGGGATCTCTCCCCCCACCCCATTCGGCACGTCCTAGCGCACAATGAGCGCGATCGCTGACAGCACTATACAGTCTCAACACAATGACATCACCCGTGAGCCACCGCTCTCTGCATTAATCACCTTCTGTCTCCGCAGTGTTGAATATCCTGCACACAACTGCCTTTCACAGCGGGCCGGAGGAGGCCGGCAGCAAGCAGCACCACGCACAGCAAAATGCCCGTCGGCACGCGCAGAGCAGGAAGGCTCATGCCTGACGGCCACTTGTGCTTTTCAGGCACTTAAGCTCTAATTTGACAACCACTATTAATAATTAGAATTTAACAAAAAAAGTTCAATAGGAATAATAATAATAATATCCATCCATATTCTATCCTCTAATCCTTATTAAGATCACAGGGGGCCTGGATCCTATCCAGGGGCAAACCTTAATAAATAATAATAATAATAATAATAATAATAATCATAATCGAGTGAAAATAATCCAGTTCTGAAAAGCAATAATTTATGAATATACCAGTTATGTGTACATAACTTCCCTTTTGCACATTGATGCATTAGCTATAATAGCTATAATTAGCTATAATAATTTTCAGCTTAATCAACAATTAACATACAGAATATACAATTTGTGCATTTTATGTGAGTTATCTTCCCTTTGAGAGCTTTTACCATAACAAAAGGAATAAGACAACAAGTGACAGACCTTGCCAATCAAATCAAATTCAATCAAATCAAAATAGCTAATTAACATTTCAGGTTCTGGAATGGTGGCTTGATTGGCAATCAAGCCACCATTCCAGAACCTGAAATGTCAATTAGCTATTTTTTTCATATATTTTCATTCCCCTGCAGGACTGAAATATAAAGTGTGACTTACGAATGTTTTGAAAAAATTCATCACTGGGCGTTCTTCTCGGAGACTCTCCCCGTGTTCAGCTTGCTGCGGGTAGACGTTGTCGCTGTTGACGCCGAGCTCTTTGCTTTCCACCGGGACGCTGGCAAGATGCTGAGAACGCAGGGCCGACGCCTCCTCGCCTTTTCCAGGCTCCTATGGACGAATGCGCAGAGATAGCTTGTGGGAGCCTACTGTGGCTGCGCAGCTGGGGTGCGACCTCTTCATTCGTTAATCGTGGCATTGAGACGCGAGCACAAATATTCCAGCCATGCCACTGCCCACTCGGGGCAGTGCTAACAATCATGCTATTATTGCCGCAGCGCTTTCTGCGGACTCCATTGGTATTCAGCAATGTAGTGGCCTACTGGGCCAACTGTGCCCTCTGCTCCGAAAAAATGCCGGGCCAATGAGAAACAGCACGTTCGTGCGTTAATAAAGTCTTACTCCACAAACGTGTTCATACCGTATGCTACGCTTACTGTAAATATCCACAAGAACATGGCTCAGTCACTCTGAACAGATGAGGTTTTTAATCCAAAGACCTTAAAAATGTTATTACTAATGGATTAGCCCTCCATCCATCGTCAAATTGCTTTTCCTGATGAGGACTAAAGTATAGATGACCCAGCTTAAAAATGCATTGACCGATATTATGAATTTTTTTAGAGCAGAGCAGTAGCTTTTAATTGCACCAAATTAAAAAAAAAACTGTAGATGCAAAGATGCAATTTTTATTTCTATAATGACAACATAGACATTTATTTAAGCATTACTATGGGCCGTTTATGTGCATTACACTATAGGGGATATGCACTCTGTGACCCTTTTCTAGGTTCAGTTAGATCAGGGGTGTCAAACTCCAGTCCTGTTCTTCCCTGTTCCACCACAAAAGACTCAGCTCAAGAGCTGTGCTGTAATTAGCACAAGGAGTTGAATCAGGTGTGTTAAATGAGGGGAACCCCCAAAAACTGTGCAGGGCTCTGGCCCTCCAGGGCTGGAGTTTGACACCCCTGAGTTAGATGGTACTGGGTAGGACCAATTTTGCCTCCAGAACCACTTCAACAATTGAGTTATTAGAGAGACACGATATATCGTTCAACATATTGTACGGGCTGACGTTTGCTGTTATTCTCATATTTTTAACAGCGCTAATTTAGTTCAAACTCAACAGTGACTTCCCACATGAGCAAAAGTGCGTGTAGCTAATGTTTATACTGTAAGTCTGTAACTGGAAGCATGTTGGTTGTATGGTTGTATTTCTCCGTGGTAAACAAGAACAACTGAGGTCATGCCAGGTGAGTGTAGGGTTAGGCCTTTCAACATTTCTAATTTAATTAGCCATCTGGCAAACCGCCATTTTCAATTATCTAGCTGCAACTCAAATGAAAGCTAAAATTATCAGGTTAGCATTGCTAATGTTAGCCACATTCAGCAATCATTTCATAGCAATTTCCTCTGGACAGCAGCAGAGCTAAAGGCGTAATACTAAAACAATCCTGATGATTACTTTGAATGACACCTCAACAGGGGGCACTAATCAGTCTGAGCTGTTGTTAATCAGCCATGACAAAATGCATGATTTCTGCAAGCTATTTATTTTCGCCGATTGTGGCGCTAATCTATTTCTCTGGATGTTAAAATGCTAAGTTAACTTGAAACAAATCCATTATAAAATAATATGAAAAATATCATAATTGAGGTGAAAATGATTAAGAATTTCTTTTTACGTCATATAATTTCACAAAGAAAGAACTAAACTACACAGGGCTGCGGCCCTCCAGGACTGCAGTTTGACACCTCTGCTCTAAGGCTAGCAAAACGTCAGTGGGTGATCTGCTTATTTATGGATCCCCTGGGCTGAACAGTTTAAATGGTCTCTTCAGTGATATCTGACTCAAGCTCAGGCTAAGGTTGCTATTTTATATGTAATATGACCCCAAGAAACCAACCTACTAAAATACGGGTATAAAAGGGGGAACTCGCAAATAGTCAGTTGAATGCAGGAGTTTTACATTTTCTCTTAAGCATGTATGCTTGTTTTACATAATGCTTTATTCTGTATAAAACACAAGGAGTAAGACAACTAAAAATCAAAACACCGATGTATTCTCTGCTTTTTGGTATTAGGCTGTTTGTGTCATGACAACAGACAGCGCCGCCTTCATGAATCAGTACCACGCCTACCCAACTACTTAAACTCCACATAGAGATCGCTCCTTGCGAGGTACTGTTGGTCATGCCACTTCCGAGCGATTCTAACCCTGGTCTTCGTTACAGCTCCGCTCCGCCCGACTCTCCCTACTTCCTCTGCCCGCGCCTCCTACGCCTTCCCACTTCCCTCCTGACCAGCCCTGATCTACCCTCGTGGCTTCTCCTTGTGTGTGTCGTCCCTGTCATCGAACAGATCTCCTGGTTCCCCGACTTTGCTGTGCCCGGCTTAACGACTTCTCCTTCGGATCATCCGCTGGCTTTGGTAAACTGTTTCGGACTGATCTCTGGTTGTGACCCTGCTTGTCACCTGGACCCGATTCTGTCTCTCCCTAATAAAGAACTCACCCGAGTGTTTTGTTGTGACAGTTTGGATCACAGGTTACCACTTACACAATGGAGGCCATTTTCCTTGATTTTAACTACAACAGGCTTCTCCTCCCCCTGTGAGCCATCAGTCTCCACCACAGGCAGGTCCACCTCAATCTTGGCCTCTGTTTTCTTCTTGAAAAGCTTGTTGAACAATGGCACCTTCTCCTCTGTGTCCTGCTTGGGCTCCACCTCCTTATCTGCAGCAGGTGGAGGCTGGACACTGACCTCTTCCTCTTTCAGCACCGGCTGATGTGCTGGATTCCCTGGAGCTTCAGCAGGAGGTGACACCGATTTGAAAAGCGAGAATGTGGCCTGTCGAGGGGTACCTTTGGTCCGCTTACGGTCACTGTCCTGCTCTGGNTGGATTCCCTGGAGCTTCAGCAGGAGGTGACACCGATTTGAAAAGCGAGAATGTGGCCTGTCGAGGGGTACCTTTGGTCCGCTTACGGTCACTGTCCTGCTCTGGAGCCTTTGTGGGAGACACCTCCTTTTTGAGGAAGGAAAAGAACATACAGTCAAACCTCGGATTGCGAGTAACATGGTTTGCGAGTGTTTTACAAGATGAGCAAATTTTGTAATGAATTTTAACTTGATAAACAAGCGAGGTCTTGCAATACGAGTATTATGTATACGCTTTGTCTACCTAGCGTCACATCATCACAACTACCAATGGTTCTTCTCTCTCTCTCTCTCTTGCTGTGGGATTGTGGGTAATCGTCTCCCATGCTTGGTCTCAGTCGGTGTGTCTCACTTGTATAGTCAAAATTTAGTAGAAAAGCACCACCCAAATAAGGGTGTAGCAGTGCAAGCAATGAATCTAACGACAACGCAATGTCCACATTTCCACGAAATCGAAAAAGAGGCTAAAGTGGCTGTCATTTGATAGGTTCCTTGTTGAAGTCGCACAAAAAGAAAAAAATTCCAGTGAGCCAACAGATAGCAGTGATTCCGGTAATTATAGTGAAAAGCGTCCTACAAAATAACCCTCCTCTTCTCCTCTCTCTTGTCTCCCTCACACCATCCATGATTCTTTTCGAAGAATTCCCTGGAGCTTACATAATGTTTGTTATTAATGAATATTACAGCTGCTAAGGGATGTTAGGATGTAAAAGTATACATACATGATGTTTATGAATGATTTCTGAATACTTAATGAATACATTATGAAGGTGTACTGAACGTTTTATGAATGCAATATAAAAGCATTATGAAGGTGCAGTTAATGTAAAGCGTTACCATTTATTTGAAGACTTTTTAAAATGTATTTTGATTTGGGATTTGTTTTAAACAGTATTTTTTTCAATTTCAGTTGCACTGTTTAGAAAAATAAATAAAGGAATATTTTTGAATAAATTTGTCTGCAGCTCATTCTGTTAAAAAATCGTGAGAAAATCGTATCGTGAACTCAGAATCGTGAATTGTATCGAGTCGTGAGTTGAGTGTATTGTTACATCCCTAATGTGGCGGTACTTTTGCAGATTAAAGTGCGACACTTTTTTTGTGAATATGATTTTCATTTGTATTTCAGTTCAGGAAATTGCCTTTTATTTAGTATCCGTTTTCTTTTCAGTTTAAGTCCCAAGAAGTCCGATGCACACGCATTCACACACTGGCACTGTCAGTCAACGTGGAATAAGCCCGGATTTTAGCCTAAAGATTTTCACAAACACTTATTCGTTGGAGATTCTTATGTAGCAGGCAGACAACTTTATGGCTTTAATAATGAGTGTTTTTAGCAGCTACAAGGACAAAAGATATTAAAAAGCTCTCTGTACTAATGGTAATTTAATAAACATGAATAGCCAGCATGGTGGTTTGCCGGTCTAGAATAGCGCCGGTGTGATATC